CCTTAATGCAGAGGATACCTAACGGTGGACAGACGTAAACAATGAGCGTTAGCATGTAGCTTCAGCCTTTAGCAAGTGTTTGAGTGTTGTTACGAGCGTAAAAAAGTTTTCTTGTTGTTTTTCGCAGTTGCTTTGGACACTGTAAAAAGGTGACGCTAGCTGGCGGCGTTTCTCGTCGGCGTTGTCGAGGCCGCTTTGTGTCAGATGTCCGCTAATTCGGCTCACACGTGGGCGACTGCGTGCAGGTGTCGCAGGTGAAGCGTGTCACAAGTCGCCAGGCAAATTTGTCGTCACAGATTCTACCCACCCCGAGGAGGTGTTGGAAAGGTAGAGGAGCTCCATTCAAGTGGACACCCGTAGCCTCAATTATCATCAATATGCGATCAACAAAACAAATGTGAAACATTCAAAGCAGTGCACACCAAAAGAAACTTTATTGATACCTCACCAGGACAATTTTGGGAAAAGAAGCACACTGCAAGTAATGAAGGAAAAAATAATGAGCTAAAATAGTGAGCTTTTAGGAAAATGGACGGCTTTTAGGTGAGCCTTTTAGTGCGGAAAATACGGTATTCTTATGACTTTAAAATAGATTTGTGTATTTTGTATCCCTTTAGGAAAAGTAATCAAATTTCATGGTGAAAGAATGACATTTCGATTATTTTTATTGCTGTGGGACAGCATGTCAAGTTTCTTATGTAGTGTTTTCAGTAGCTATGTTTCAGAACACTGTGTTTGACTTCGCCGGTGGTCTGACACTGTTGTTACCTCCTCCCGATTAAACTTTTAACACCCAAAAGAGGTCCCGAACACCTCTCCGTGCATCAGTCAGCCTTGGAAGGGCCTCCTGAAAATCTTCGTCTGCCACGACGACCCGCTTGAACTCCTTGCTCGTCGCAGCTTTTCTAAAAAGTCGCCAGGTGGTATGGTGGCGAGAAATGCGGGAAAAACGTCAAGTCGGCGCTGCTGTTTGTATAATGTCGCGTTAACCCACTCAGCCATTCAGGCGTATCCAAAGCGGCCGCCCCTGCCACTGCCGCCATGGGCTCGCTCGCTAGGATGGGAGCGTTGAATTTTTTAGAGCTTCCGCTCGCCTGGCTGAGCGGCCCCCGCGCTTGTTGCGTCATCCAGCGTAAGTGCTAATCCCGGTCAGCACCGCCAACCCCCCCGCCGCCCACCCCCAACCCCGTTGAGGTGGTACGGCGAATGGTGTCTGTTTTAAGTGATGTTTTGATTGGTGCCTAGCCGAGCGAGCTAACTCTACTCCCAGGACGGAAACTTTTTTTTTCTGGGGCGGGGGGGGGGGGGGTCTGTTTTCATTGGGATGACAGCGGCCCATCTAGGCGGCATCTCGCGAAAGGAGTTTAGCTGGCAGTTTCACGTGTCTTACTTGAGCCTTGCTAGAAAGCACGTCATGCCCAAAAGAAAAATGTTTGACAGTGTACCAGAGCGTCTCTGTTTGATGGCTTCCGTGGCGGCCATGAAAAATTAATGCAGCAGAGAAACACCTGCAGCGAGTTCCTCAACGACAAGCGGGAGGAAAAATCGCAAAGTCGGTGGTTAAAACATGGCACTTGTGGAGTGAAAAATGTGGCCTTTTTTTGTGATTGTTTGTTTCTTACTTAATTCGCATCACGAAGATATTAATTGACGGTTAGGATTTAACTCAATTGACCGGATTTGTCTGTAACAAAAATGAATTGATTGAACGGTGGTTAATGGAGTCGGGAAGCAAAATGGCGAGTGCTGGCTAAAAACCAAACAAATCTTTGTCACATTGACACGGTCGGTCGCCTTAGTCGGGAATGACCAACGAGAATGTTGATGACATGATGTAAAAGTTAAAATAAAAATTGTCTTGCTGTACTTGTTCGATCATCTCAGTATTGCGAATAACTGGTTTTAGAAATACGGTCAGCATTATTTGTCCGCAGCAATAATTATGTCAACATGTATGTTGTTGTGCGTAGTAGCGCATAGTCATGAAGCATCCACGCGCTCCATCTTTTAATGTTATCTTCCTTGGACATGCCTCCATTCTACGGCTCCAGATAAGGCGATTTTTTTTAATTTTTATTTTTGGATGATTCTGACCTCTAAAAGTCGAACGCTATGTAGCGCCTCGTGCTAACTAACACGAATCATGAGTTCGGAAATTGTCAAAGCAGGAGATTGTTTAATGCAACTTTGTGTTGTGTGATTACCTGGAAAAGCAACTGTGAAATTGTTGCTCATCGTCGCCAGGAAGAGACACATACGTATCTGTGTACCTTTATACGCTCTGTCGTCATCTCAGTCCGTCGTAAAAATCCTCTTTGTGACGAATCTTCGTGTGGTTGAGATTGACACTGATGACCGTTCCGAATATTTAGTCCTTTTTAGCTCAAATTTGGGTCAGCGATATGGCCATAAAATGAAATTTTTTGCTCCCACAAATCCGATTCGCGATTTTAACAGTTTTTTCTTCTGCTTTGATAAAAAGATTATCAAATGCCAGTTAGATTATTTAAACCTTTGCTTTTTTGATTTTTTTTTTTGCCCTTTCTGTGATTTGCGCCACTTATCCTGAAACCAAACCGCAGCACGCCGTTCCCCCCCCTCCCCACACACACACCCTTTTCATGCCAGCATTAACCGTATCAGTTGACGCAGAAAGAATGCCGTTTTCCACACTGCCAAAATTCTCACTTTTTTCCGCATTCCACGTTTCCCGGGACAACATAATCAGCAATATGTCCCATTTCATCATCACATTTCCCCCTTTTGCATACTTTCAGGCCTTTGTGTGTTGTTTTTTTTTTTTGGGGGGGGGGGTTATTGTTTTTTGTTTGTTGAGCTACCGCTATGTCCCACTAAGTCCCATTTTCTGTTCTATGGCCATCATCACGTTATTTGTTAGCTTTCTGGCACTGACAGATGTTTGAATCGCTGGCGTGCCCAACGCGCACGTTCGCACCAGGTAAGCACAAAACGACGACACGCTGCGATTGTACACGTCGCGATCAAAGCGCGGCGGCGTGTATTGTGTGCGCCGCATTGAATGTGTCGCACGCCTCTGATCATTTTCCTTTTCCTTACCTCGCTTTGTTTTTTTTTTTTTTTTTTTTTTTTGTGAAAGGCGTGTAAGGACAGGTGGGTGTGAGACATCCCGCGTTAAGATATCAAACGTGAGGAGCCGGGTTTTCAGCTGATATTAAAAGATGATTGTGCGTGGGCCCCAGCCATAAGAATGTAAACCCCCCGAATCAGTCGCAGCCGGGATAAGAAGACAGCGCAACCGACAAACAAGGAAAGGGAAGGAGGAAGAGAAGGACGGCAGAAATGTTGCCATATAAATAGTTGAAATAGTTGATGTGATTCGTGGATAAAGAGCCTTCTTGTTGACTCTTGTTTTATTTATTTATTTATTTGTTGCTGTTTGCTATGACAAATATCAACACAGTCAACACACCGTTTCCCTTTTTGGGGAACAATTTAACCGCTACAAAGCAAAGAGCCACAATGCGAACACTGTCACCCTTTGGAACCCGAAATTTGAGGTGTTTACATCAATGTAAAGTCAACATAAAAAGTGTACACACCGTCTTCATATTGCTGTTTTTTTTTTTTTTTTGTGTGTGTGAGCTTGGAAAAAAGATAAATTAACTCAAAACCCCTTTTGCCATTATTATGACCTACAACCTGCACAACTCAAATGTTAGTTTTTTTTTTCTTTTTGAAAGGGGAAGTGGAACAAACGACTGAGATAATGAGCTTTTTCGCCATATTTTTTGCTGACTTTACATTGCTTATAATTAGTTACTTAGCTCCAGTTACTTATTAACAGTTACTTAGTTACAGTTTGGGGACGTGTCCGTGTTCAAAATACTTTATAACCAATCTCATGTTAAATGACATTCCGCAGTTCTGCTCAGTTCTGGTAGTTTTCCTCTTTGCTTATTTCACTTGCCTGAGTTGCCTTCGTAAAACTAACTTGGTTACAGTTACTTAGCTACAGGACTCAGACACAAATACTTATATAGTTACAGTTGTTGTTTTGTACTGTATTTACATTCGCTTGTTAGCATTAGCTTAGTAACCGTAGCTTAGCTAGAGTAGTGGAATAGTATCCCTCACTCGGCTCCAACATAAGCAAAGAATAACCGGCAAAAATAGTGCTACGCTCTTGTTTGCTAACGCTGTCCTGGCTCATGTGCCTGGGCATTTGCCATCAATGCTAACTCCTTTTTAAAAAATGTTTGTAGTGAAAGGGGGCTAACTATGCTGTATTGTTGTTGTCCTCAGTCTCCATCACTTGATGGCATTATCTTAGTAGATGTGGTTTCGCAACAGTAGCTTAGCAACAGTATCTTAGCGAAAGTTCAATTAAGTATGAATTCCAAACAGGGTTTTTGAGAAGTGCGTCAAACCAGCAGCGGTTACAGCAGCATTGCAGCATTTTTTTTTCTCCAATATGTTTTTATTTCATTATTTTTACTGTTGTTGTTGTTGTTGAGTGCGCTTTTGTCTCTCATTTTGATTTGTGGGCTTTGTAACTCAAGAAAGAGAGCAACAAAAGGTTTGGCACTTCAAAGTCGTTTTGATAGTTTTCTTGTTCCAGGCTTTTGGACACATTAAAAGGTGTCAAGATCACAGGATCACGCCTTGCTTCTGCTTGTCTTCTGCACTGACTCAATAGTTAAAAAGTTCACTCAGGTCTCACGCCTCCCTAATTACTTGAAGAGTGTGGAGGGTGCATGTTGTTGAAAAACCCCAAATAATTCCTCTGTTTGCATTAAACATATTTACTGTTACAGTCATTCACTTTATATGATTTTGTTCTCAACATATAGCTATTGTCGTAGCATTGCAATGTTATTCGTGTTAAAATAACAAAAATATGAAACAGTTTCACTCGACAACGCAGAGCTTTATTAAAACATTTCTCTAAAATAAGACTTTGTTCTCATCTGATTCGCCATTTTTCCGCAAATGTGACTATTTTTCTCTCTTCTCACCAGAAGCATGTGGAACGCAGGCAACAGTGGCGACGGTGGTCAGGTGACCGGTAGGATGGAGACCACGCCGTCGCCGGGCAGCGCCAGCATCTCCGTGTCGCAGCAACAGGCGCCCAAAAAGTTTGCCCCAGTGGTGGCGCCCAAGCCCAAGTTCAACCCCTACAAGCATGCTACCGACCCAGATCCCGCAGGTAAACAAAACGCAACCTCGAACGTAACTCTCCTCCGAGACCAATATCGCCAATTAACATTAATTTTAGTGGAAATATTTATCCTAGCAGGACCCATAAAAAAGTCTCAAGGAACCATACCCAAAATTGAACAGGTTGTTGATGTGGCTGTCACGATCAAATCATTTCAGAATTGAATATCCTAACTACTGTCCCATCGAATTTAGCTGAGTCTAGCATTCGTGCAGTTGAACATAAATGAGTTTCCATTTCCACCTAGCGATGCATTTCCACCTAGCGATGCTGGGCTAACTACTTTCTAACTAGCGATGATAGATTAAAAACCTGCGTTGTTACCTTGCTGCTGAGTAACATGATAGATTGCTGCCTTTGACACAGTGGGCCACGGTTCAAATCCTAGTCATGAACGCTAACATCCTAATGGATATACTAGACCCGAATTCCAAGCCACTGCTTGTCTTGTCCGCTACCAAACCCAGATGAAAATGAGTGCAATGCATCAGGAAGGCCATCCGGTGTAAAAACGATGCAAGGTCGGGGAAAAATTTAGCCTTTGACACCTGTTTCGCTGATTCTCACAAATTTTGTTTGACATGTTGATAATACACGGACGCAAGAAAAAGTCTCAAGGACCTGTGTTGAACTGGCCGTCCGCCATATTGGGTGAAATTCACAGTTTGATGATTCGGTGTGAAAACGGTTCTGGGAAGGCCCATTCATTGCCAGTCGCAGCCTTAATTTTCTCATCTGGCACGCCATGGCATCCATTTGGATAGCACAAGAGGCTCTTGACCTGTTATCACATTTACGCTCACGCAAACGCGAGAATCACACAGGCCAATGTGGAAAAACAGAGCTGAGAACAATATTAGTGCCGGTGACACAGAGGGATCCATAAAGGACACTCCGGATGGTGATTAAGAGCGCTCGTCGCTTAAAGCAGCTAATTAGGATTCCTTGTTGAGCGAGCAGCCTCTTGAAGCTAATTGCTCAATAAAGGGAGTGGAAGCGTCGCGATTAAAACACTCTTCCGCTGCTTCTTGTCTCAATTAGCGCTCGCGGCTTCAAAGCCCGTCAAAATGGACACCCCCTAATGCACGGCACAGACCGGAAAAAGTCACAGACGCATGACGTCTTGTTCCAAGTATGTCTCATTGATGAGTGACAGCGACAAATGTAAGCGTCCCCCAAAAAAAATTTTAAAAAATCAGTGATGTCGGATTTTGCTCAACAGAATTGTTGAGCATCGTTTATGTATTTTTATTCATATTTACATGTTTTTTTCCAATGTCCCTTTCTAAAAAAAACTGATTTTTTTATGTTGGTAAAAAAAAAATATATGTTTTTGGGACAGCGACAATATGTAAAAAGAAATGTGAAGATCAAAAATATAAAAGTAAATAAAATAGGTAAAAATTAAAAACGACGATTTGGAGATACAGCTGTGTTTTTTCTTTTAAGCCCACAATGTTTTAAGAATATACGAATGTATGTATATAAATAGAATATAAAATAAAGCAATATATAATTAAATTAGAAAGTTCACATAAAATGGAATAAAAATAAGAATATGAAAATGTAGGTTTTGACACTCGGGGACTCAGAGTGAAAGTAGACATTACAACACAAATTTGGAAGATAGATGATTTTTTTTCTGTATAGCACAGATAAATTAACAATGCAATATAAAAAGAATATACAGTATATATGTATATGTTCATGTTTTTGTAGATGAAGATGTACATGTATATGTCTATGTATATATCTGTGTGTGCGTGCACGCGCACATAAAACCTGTTGTAAAAAAATGTATTTAAAGCCTGTTTTAGCAGACGGCATACTGTCAACGAGCGCTGAAAACCTGTTTTATTACTCTTGGTCTAAATCTTTTCAGTATTTCCAGATAAAAGTGTCTTTGCGCTGCGCATGGGAGAGCGGCTGATCTGCATGGCATCAATCTATAGCGACATGTTAAACCCTCAAATCTGTTGTAAGTCATCTTGAGTCGTCGTCTGGCTCTCGCTTCCCTTCCCGCTGGGAATCGACATAACTTCTCCGCAAAAAAAGATTTGGAGGCGGCGGACTCTGCTACTGGCCTCGGTGTAGCCCCCCCCCCCCCTTTAAAAACAACAAGGGGACAAAGGCGACAGCGAGGCACGGTGCCAAATTGACTTGTCTCTTAATTTCTATGCTAATCCTCATTTTTACATCAGAAGATTGATTAAAAAAAATAAATAGGAGGGATTAATGCGCTCATAAAGGCGTCTTATCTTTTTGACAAGCATCTGCAGACGCTTGCACATGCTGTCACGTTTCATTTTAGTGTCCATATGCTGAAACTTGATCTGCTGGATACATTGATCAACCCTAAAGAATGCTGTATTTACACATAGTGGTGTAGATGTACTCAGATGCACAAAAAAAAACAAAAAAAAAAAATGGGAAAAAGAAGCCCATTACACTATGCTTCGAGAAAAGATGAAAAGGGATCCAAGTAAATACAAAATAATGGAACGCATAAGTTGATACGGACACAAATCGGAAAAAGATGCATAAAGTGAGTCTGTGATGACTTGACTGCAGTGCGCGACACAAAAGAAAAGTCTGAAGAAGACACTTCAGAGAAGTGACGACGTGGCTAAGCGTTTTCGCACCACGCTGTGAAAAAGCGCAGTCAAAGTTTGATTTAAAAAAATAAAAATAAAAATCCTGACAAATGACTTTTGTTTGTATTCTTATTATTATTGCAGTTTGCTACATAAAAGTTTGAAAAATAAATGTGACTGCAGTGTACAGTGTAAAAAAGAAACCAGGTGAAAAAGAGCATGACGTGACCACGAACTGCGCACCACAAAAGCCTGAAAAAGATGCACGGTATCCCAGGCCTCCAAAAAGGAGTTTCAAGAAGCATGACAGCAGATTGTTCCACCCTTAACACTATTGGGCATAAAAGAACCCAATGTGGATTAAAAAATCTGAAAAAGAAGCACAGTGTGTGAGACCAAGCGGACACATCCTTACTGACAGCTCACACCAAAAACAAGAACAAGTTTTACCAGTTTTAAAACCGTGACTTTTAAAATTCGCTGTATATTTTCAAACTGGGAGATTGGCCCTTGCCTATTATCGACCACTTGCGGATCCCCGGGTCGCGTGGTGCATTTCGGGGGACGCAAAATAAAAAGCAATATTTTCTCAGTTTCCGGCCCACAAGACAGAAAAACAAAATTTCCAAGCGGTGAGAATGAGCTACCGTGTTGTATTTATTTATTCGTTTTCATTTTTGGCGTGCACATTATACTTATGCCTCAGATTTACGGGATCTCTTGTTGTCTCGAGAGGCAAAAAGGGAAAAAAAATGGAAAAGCTCAGCGAGGAGAGGAGCTCTTAATTAGCGCAATACGTACAGAAGGAGACCGATTTATGACATTTTAGTCCTCTCAAGTGCAGACGAGGCTGGAGGATTTGGGGGTACTTTGGAGATGTGAAAAAGCACGAAAACCCTGAAAAAAAAAAAAAAAAGGAATTCCCTCCGGATGAGAAATAGAGATGGGGAACAATAGGCGGATTATTTTATTGTAGCAAGGAAAAAAAAAAAAAAACGCTGGCAGAAAAGGTGAATGCTTTTCAAAGAGCAGCCAGACTCCTTATCGGAATATTTGAGACAGGTTGAAACAAATGACGGCTGTGAAATATTCGCTGTGCGTGTTTGTGTGTGTGTGTGTGTGTGTGTGTGTGTGTGTGTGTGTGTGTGTGTGTGTGTGTGTGTGTGTGTGTGTGGAGAGAGAGAGAGAATGTGTCACAACATGAAGGAGGCCGCCTTCGTGCTGAGGAGGGGCAGTGAAATTAAACATTTCAAGTGTTACTTTCATGTCTAGCCAATGAAAGCCTTGAATGAGGACTTTTTCTCGTCTTGAAAGTTTACCTCCACAATGACCAAATCACAATTTAGCTTCGCCAACTTGTGTAGTGTACTTTTTTGAAATTTGGGAGCTATCGGACGAATTTGGCATTATTGTCGGAAAATGGCGAAAATGACTTTAAATAGGTCGCTGAAAATCAAAATGGCCGACTTCCTGTGCATTTTTTGGGGATGGCTTCTTGTGACTTCTTGTTCGGTCTCCTCATGATAGTCATGTCAACCACATGTCGTGTTGCTCAGTGTGTAGTTTACTGGGGCTGGAATTTTCCCCCCAAATTCCGTAACTGCTTCAAACCAAAATGGCAGCCTTCTTGTGTCTATTTCGACATGGCTTTTTGAGACTTTTTTTGTCAGTCATGATAGACATACTTACCAAATTTCTTGTGATGTGAAGCTTAACTTGTGCACTGACTTTTCCGAATTGTGGAGTTTGTCTCCTATTTTTAGTGAGCCCTGAATATGAGCCACAAACTGGCACACTTACAGGTGGTTTTCATGCATTACATTGCCTTAATCTTTTTTTTTTGTGTGTGTGTGAGTGTACTCCGGATGGAAATCAGCCAAATTTCATGTTGTGAAATGAAACTGGCGTCAAGGGCTACATTTTTCGAATTCTTCATTTTATGATCATTTTCCCTCTCGTAGACTGACATGTGCTAGCTCAACAACGCTAAGTTCCGACGAGAAAGCCTGAATCCTCATTTTTGTTTAGTTTTAAACTCCACTTTTCACTTGAGACACTTTTTTAAAAAAAATTCTCCCGTAAACTGATTGTCATCAGATGCCACGGGCATAAAAAGTGCAGTCACAAGGCAAAGAAACATCAAGGGCTTACGCTAATACACACCAAATAAAGTATGCATTGATGTGGAAGCCGCCAGGCGCGAACAAGCGGTCTCCACGGGGCTGCCGAGGCCGCTCGCTCGCTGGACTTCCTGTCAATCCTCCCGGCGAGGTGCGCCAGGGACCGCGACCAAACAGTTGCTTGTCATCCTTCGCCTCGAAGCAGCGACGAAAAAGCGCTTATGCAAACGCTTAACGACACAAAGCCAGCCCACAATTAGTAAGTTGACTCGCAACTTGTAGCAAGTTTTATAGGAAAAGCAGCTCGTTGGATGTTTTTGAAACTTTTTTTTTTTTTTGCATGTGTGTGTGTTTTTATCGGCCATGCTGATCAGCGCCGTGACATCATGTGGCGACCAGGACCACTTCCTATCAACAAATATTGGATGTTTTTGAAACTTTTTTTTATTTTATTTTTTTTGCATGTGTGTGTGTTTTTATCGGCCGTGCTGATCAGCGCCGTGACATCATGTGGCGACCAGGACCACTTCCTATCAACAAATCTGTTTAGCTCGGGGGTAGGAGGGTGCTAATTGCTTTGAAAAAGGCGACTTTGCTCATTCTTTGTCACATGGACGTTTGTAAAAAATTAAAATCTGTTTTGGGCTTTGCCAAAGAGTTCTTGTTCAACTCATTTTGACGGGAATTTTTTTTTCAGCTCTTGACTAACCTGGGGCTCTCAAACTTTTAGGTCCAGGGACCTTTAAGCCCCTTTTTCGGTCCTGATGCCAGTTACATTTCACAACCATGCGTATAGGCGACTTTGCTAATTCTTTGTCACATGGACGTTTGTAAAAAATAAAAATCTGTTTTGGGCTTGCCAAAGAGTTCTTGTTCAACTCATTTTGACAGGAATTTTTTTTCCAGCTCCTGACTAACCTCTCAAACTTTTAGGTCCAGGGACCTTTAGCCCCTTTTTCAGTCCTGATGCCAGTTACATTTCACAACCATGCGTATCCCTAAATGCCATTGAAATTAAAGTTGCCATTTATCAAAATGGCTATCTCACTGACTTTTTGGGTGGTTCTAACTACTTCCGCCACTAGGGGCACTGCACTGCACTGTAATACAATACTTCTACCACTAGGGGCACTGTACTGTAATACAATCACTGGGGGCAGCATACTAAATGCCTTCGAAATTAAAGTTGCCAATTTTTGAGGGAAAAAAACGGATCATAATGTAATAAAAGAAGAGAAAAACATTTACGTGAAATATTATGACCGTAAAGTCATTTCATCAAGGGAAAAAAATGTCAGCATCTTTCCAATCACAAAGAATTATTTTGTCGGCTTTTCACAGTTGAAATTTCATGGTAATAAAAGCTAACAATGACTATTAAAAAAGAGAAAAAGTTGAAATATGGCAAGAATAAAGCTGTGGACAAAAGGCCTTTCAAGAGCAAATACGTTTTATTGGGACAATCAATTTTGATCTTATGATAATAGTAATATCCCCCCCACCCTACAAAACAAAAATCCCACAAAAGGTAATGATCTTTACAAGAACAAAGATGGATTTTTCCAGTATTAAATTTTCTTATCTTATGAGGGAAAAAAAATGTGCCACCAGTTACATTTCACAACCATGCGTATCCCTAAATGCCATTTATTAGAATGGCTACCCCACTGACTTTTTGGGTGGTTCTAACTGCTTCCGCCACTAGGGCCACTGCTCTGCACTGTAATACAATACTTCCACCACTAGGGGTACTGTACTGTAATACAATCGCTGGGGGCAGCATACAAAATGCCTTCGAAATTAAAGTTGCAAATTTTTGAGGGAAAAAAAACATCATAATGTAATAAAAGAAAATTATGTGAAATATATGACCGTAAAGTCATTTCATCAAGGGGAAAAAATGTCAGCATCTTTCCAATCACAAAGAATTAATAACACAAAATAAAATATAAGAAAGATATTTATTCTATTTTATTGGTGGAATTGAACATTTTTTCAAAAACAGCTCAAATTAATACATGTAGAATGCAAATTACTGTAATACAATCACTGGGGGCAGCATACTAAATGCCTTCGAAATTAAAGTTGCCAATTTTTGAGGGAAAAAAACGGATCATAATGTAATAAAAGAAGAGAAAAACATTTACGTGAAATATTATGACCGTAAAGTCATTTCATCAAGGGAAAAAAATGTCAGCATCTTTCCAATCACAAAGAATTATTTTGTCGGCTTTTCACAGTTGAAATTTCATGGTAATAAAAGCTAACAATGACTATTAAAAAAGAGCAAAAGTTGAAATATGGCAAGAATAAAGCTGTGGACAAAAGGCCTTTCAAGAGCAAATACGTTTTGTTGGGACAATCAATTTTGATCTTATGATAATAGTCATATACCCCCCACCCCACAAAACAAAACCCCACAAAAAGTAATGATCTTTACAAGAACAAAGATGGATTTTTCCAGTATTAAATTTTCTTATCTTATGAGGGGAAAAAAATGTGCCATTTTTCTTGAACAAACTTTCTTGCCAACAAACAAAATAATGAACAAACCAAGTAACTTACAAAGACACAAACTGTGCAATGAACAAAGCAAGTTATTGGGACAATCAATTTTGATCTTATGATAATAGTAATATCCCCCCCACCCTACAAAACAAAAATCCCACAAAAGGTAATGATCTTTACAAGAACAAAGATGGATTTTTCCAGTATTAAATTTTCTTATCTTATGAGGGAAAAAAAACAATCAGTTTGGACCAAATAAAGTACCGAACGACCCCAAGGAGCAAACTAATCTACAAAACTGTCACGATCAGAATTGGTCACGAACAAAATGGCTTCCAAACAAAAAAAATGTGCCAAATTTTCTTCGAACAAACTTTCTTGCAAACAAAAAAAATAATGAACAAACCAAGTAACTCACAAAGACACAAACCGTGCAATGAACAAAGCAAGTCACCAAAAAAAAAAAAAACAATCGGTCTTGACCAAATAAAGTACCGAACGACCCAAGAAGCAAACTAATCTACAAAACTGTCATGATCAGAATTGGTCACGAACAAAATGGCTTCCAAACAAACTGAGTAACACACAAACTAAACGAGAAATTCAGTATCCAACTAGGCTACAAACTAAGGAACGAACAAACTTACCAAAAAAAATAAAATAAAATGAAGTTATGACCAAATAGAAACGAACAAAATAGCAAAGCAGCTGACAAACAGTCATGGACAAACTAAGTCATGAACTAACTGAAAACAACGACCAACCCTTGTCAGAAAGAAATTGGAAACGAAAAAGCAAGCTGTAAACGCCACCAACTGCAAATGAACTCGAATAACGCGGCAAAGTGATAATTAACTAAAAGCGCTAAAAAGTTTTGGCTACATGAACAACCCTTGTCAGAAAGAAACTTGGAAACGAAAAAAACAAACTGTAAACGCCACCAACTGCAAATGAACTCAAATAACGCGGCAAAGTGATAATTAACTAAAAGCGCTAAAAAGTTTTGGCTACAAAGTTTCAAACGACGTTCTCGTTGCCGTCACATGTCAAGAAAAAACAAAGCAAGGAGGCTCCCGACGTCACACTCTCGGTTCCTGCCACGTCGTGCGCGCGCAAGATGTCAGATGTGTCCAATTAGAACCACGCCGCATTATCTGTCTGCTAAATTAATTTGCCAGTCTGTCTCGGATAAGCGACACCGACGACATCAATTAAGACGTAATGAAATTCGTCAAAGTCCCGAAATTGGCACCGGTTCCCGTTCGTGTCCAACCTCTCGTACGATGATCCCGCCGTCTTAAGTCTCCGGTTTAATTTGGCCGCGCAACTCCTTATCCCCGTCTGAAACATGTGTCCCCCCGACCCCCCTCCCACCCCGCAATCCTTTTGGATTAGCGCCGATTTAAGGAGTGTAAATTTGGCTCGTTTCCTTCATCACCCCCCTCCCCTCCCAAAAACATTTGACATTTCTAATCGAAAATAAAACGACAACCTGACATGCAGATTTATCAGACGACGACGACTTCTTCTTGAAACAGATTGCGACAATTATGTGTAGCAATCCACCGAAGCCTGCTGACTTTCAACATGTGACACGACAGACTTTGTATTCATTGTATGTATTTCTTTTTGTCCCAAGCTGACAGCTATCGTCAATCACTAGCGAGAGGAGTGACCAACGGAGTTCATGCGGGAGATCAGCTGATGTGCCAAAACGGGTCATTGGCCGTGTCGCATGTCTGTCGTTTTGTCATTTGTCACCATTTCAGTCTTTTTTTATTTTTTTTATTTTGGGAGTCCTCCAAACGCAACACAATTGAGGGCTTTGTCTCCCGTACGCGCTGTGTAAAATTCCAATCACTGTGAAGCAGGACGCAGGTGCCGATCCATTTTTTCAGGGCAATATTTGCTAAAGCGAATAATCGACCTTCAGTGGCGACCGTGCAGGGGATCCCACGGACGTTGGCTATTTTTCATAGAGGAGCCGTCACTATTTCTCGTTGCAAAAGGACTCTTGACATGATGGACTCGTTGATTAGAATGATTTTTCCATTGAATCTTGTTGTCGGTTTCACTGTGGCTGGCGCACGCTGCGACTTTTTGTTTTATCGAATGGCATGTTTTTGTGACCTTCATAAAAACGAGATGAACCATGACAAAAATTTGAGTTGGCAGGAGTATTGCTATTTTTTCACCAAATTATAAAAAATAAATGTATTGTTACATGCTCTGTTTGTATTTGTTGTGGTCAAAAAGTAGTTGTTTAGAATCAATGCTGGTTTTGTTAGTGAGCGGAATTTTGTGAGGCCAAGTTATGTGGTTTGGTTAAATGGTGCTTAGTTTGTTTTATGTTAAGTTCTACAGGAAACTTCAACTGGATTGGCAATAAACAGCTTGAAGCAAGCACACTTGGCCTCGTTTTTGAAGCGCTTTTAAAGTCTGTACACGGTAGAATAGACATCATGCGCTTCTTTTCAGCACGATCAGGTTTTTCCCAAAAATATTAGGTGGATTTACAAATTTTACCATATAGAATTAATCCTTTGGTGTACTGAAGTGTAGCATTGCAAGTGTCTTAGTTTTTTTTTTTCTTTCTCTCCCTAGCTGACTACCCTCCTCCTCCTCCGCCGCCTGCCGCCGATTCGATCCACTCGCCGCCATCGTCGGCCGCTTCCTTCCCGCCGCCTCCGCCCGCCAACTCGTACGACTATCAGGTGAGAAACGCTCGCTTGCCGCTTTTTTTTTTTTTTCCTCCTCTCCTTTTTTTTTTTTTTCCCCTTCTCGTTTCTGTCAGAAGTGTCGGCAAGGAGTAACGAAATGCCGCGAGCGTGCCGCGCTCTCGAGTTCACGTGGCGAGGTCCGGCCCAAGCATGCGGCCGTTCGTCCGCGCCGACTCGTAGCCAAGCATGGATACTTTGCAGCTCGGCTCCACGCCCGCAGCCATGAGCCTGAACTCCAGGACCCCCCCCCACCCCCCCACACACACACACAAACGTGCACTCGGGCGCGCACACACACAAGCAAACAAACTTTCTCAGCTGTTAAGAATGAAGGCTGACACCTGTTGGTGAAGCCTGGTCCTGCCTTCCTCATTGGGGGAACCTGAGAGCACAAAAATAGCAAAAACAAAACAACAAAAACAGCAGATAACTATATGTTGGGGACCGGAGAGTAAAGGAGATTAAAAAAAAATAGCACAGGAAGGAACAACAAAAGGAGAGAGCAGCATCTGTTGGTGAAAAGTGTAAAAATGACTAAGGAGACAACAACAGCAGGTTGTACCCGGGGACGGCAATGAGGAAAGAGAGCGCAAAAAGCAAGCACAAATGACAACAAATGTTGGAGCCTGTTTGTCGAAGCTGTTTGCAAATGAGGAGAAAAGAAAACTCAAAACAACAACAACAAAAAAAAAGGCACCTTCATCTCTTGGACCAGCACGTGAAGCAATAAAAGAACAGAGACCACAAAAAAAAAAGAAACGTGTTTGGTGGTAAGCAAAGAGAGAAGAGAGCACAAAAAGCAATAAAAACAGACAACAAGAACATCACTTTTTGGAACCAGGTCATTCGCAAAGAGAGGATCACAAAAAGCACTTACAAAAGACGGCAAAAATGACTTCATTAGTTGACGCTGACGGATAAGGAGAAAATAGCACACAAACAACAATAAATTAAATACTGGAATGCTCATTGAAGAACCTGAGGATCAAAAGAAGGAAATAGAGCACAAACAGCAAGGACAAAAGACACCTGTTGAGGAACTTGAGCATAATAAGGACAGAAAGGCCACAAAAAGCAGTCATTAGCCACAATTGCTGGACCTTGATTGGGCCACCAAGGTTAAAACGCAAAAACAAAACACGGCAACACCTGTTGAGGAACTTTGGGATGAACAGGGGAGGATAAAAAAAAAAGCACAAATAGCAATAACAAAAAAATAATAATCACAACAGCAACACTTCTTCAAGTGCTTGACATTCCATTGGGATGAGTAACGTTGAACGCGAAATAATCCACAATGCTCATTTGATGGTTTGATGTGCGGCTTCACAAAGCTTCGTTTATGTTCACATGTGTTGCGCAATCTCCTGTGCGGTGGCACAAGCTTCATCCATTTGTGACAATGAAGGGAGACCATCGATATCACTTTTTCATGATTTTTTTCCTTTTTTTTTTATTTTTTTTTAACAAATGCAATCAACTTTTGTGAATGGAAAAACCGTACCAACATGAAGGTGCCCTGGTTAAATGTATTTTGTATGTTCCTCTCGCAGACGAGAGGACCCGAAAAGACTCTGGAGGAGCGACGCTCCAGCTTGGACGCCGAAATCGACTCTCTCACCAGCATCCTGGCTGACTTGGAGAGCAGTTCGCCATACAGGACGCGAAACACTCAGGTAAACGCAAGTTCTGTACCTCGTTTCATGTTTCCTGACAATTTTCGAGCCCTGTTTTTCTCCAGAAAATGTTTCCAAATTGTGTCTTTGAATGACAGGTTCATAATTTCCCCCAGATTGTGTCATCACAGTATGATTTATTTGCATGAAACTGCCTCCACATTGAATTGTACAAAAATATTTGCCTAGTTAAAAAAACATAAAAAAACAAACAAACAAAAAAAATTGTAACATTGACAAATAGTTTGGTAACTTTTGACCCAAACTGTATCTATGAGTGATGATTCAGACTTTTGACAGTGTGTGATGTCACAGTGCGGCCTCATTTACTTACAGTAATTGTTTAATAACCTAATAACCCAATTTTATTCCAAAGTACAACACTTAAAAACTAAAATATATTATAATTGAGATTATTGTATTATTTTTAGATTAAAATAAAAAATATTGCCAAACAGCAAGTCATTTTATTCTTTTGTTTTGTCATTTATTGACACATCAAATACTTAAAAAATGAGACAATTTTTTTTTTATTCAATTAAAAAACAGAAATACTGTCAAAAAAATTTAAAATGTTCTTTATCATTGAAAAATACTCTACCAAGTAAAACATTTTGTTTCAAACAAGTCATTATAAGAAATGAAAAAGAAAATAACACAATGGGTGTTGAGACTCGAGACTGCATGACCCACATGCACGACTGCGAAGCTAATGGACAAAGTGTATGAAGTGCTGTCTCCTCCAGTAAAAATGCTTTTATTGTCCAAGTGGGCATTCCCATTTTTTGGGGCCCTTGAATTTTTTTTTTTTTTCAAACGCTAGGCTGCGCTTCAGCAAAGTAGAAACCGCTTGCCTGGTTGCAACGCCCTCGCCCTGTCCGCGGTCATCATTTTAAGCAAGGACTCTTCTGCACAACACAGGACTGTCCCCTCAAAAGCAGCAACTTTGAACAACACAGAGGATGTTGTGTGCTTAACTAATAGTAGATCCTTGGGCTACTTTGAAGAAAGCGTGTCCAGACATGTCATTAAGCATAGATGACATTTGTGGAAAATAAAACCAAAATTATACTATTGCTCCTTTAAAAAAAAAAAAAAAAAAAAAAGAAATAGAAGAAGAAGCCCAAATGAGGCCCCCTTTTTGTTTGGCAATAGCGACTAAATGTGCCTCGACCTACATAAACGAGTTGATTTTTAAGGATATTAAAAGAAAGTCAAAGCCTTGGGCACAAAACTAAATCGTTTCAATCAATGTAGGACAGACACGTGATTTATATGTATTAGAAAAAAAGAAAGGTCGCGGATGATGTAGCCTATGGCGCATTTAGCGTTGTTGTATTAGTGTATTGAAGGAGGCATACATAGAGTACATCCTGTATATTTATACTCGACATGCATACAAAGTGACAACAAGGTTAACATACGCGGACATAAATAATTGACTGGCTGTTCATTTAGCTCCCATTGAACTCTGTGGCCTCATACAAGATGTACCGTGTGCGTGTGCGTGTGCGTGTGCGTGTGTGTGTGTGTCGGAGAAGCCCAATGCACAAATGAAAAGAAAAATAGTTCATTCGCAGCTAACGTTTCAGGAAAATAGACTTATCTAGTCATGTTTTTTTTCCAATCATTATTATTTTAAATTATGTAAAAATTTAAAAAAGCAAACCGCAAAGAATTGTTTCCTACATAGAAGTAGAAAATATCAAGTCAGATTTTATCTAAAAGTTTTCACTTCAAAGAAAGTGTGATTACAAAGACATCTTGCTAAATATATTGTAATTTCAGTTATTATTATTATTATTATTATTATTATTATTATTATTTCTGAGAAGAGCAACTGCTTGTCTGCATCGAGAAAGAGCCAGATGTGGTGGGTCGGGCATCTGGTTAGGATCTGGTTGTGTAGGACGCCGCCCCTCGTCAAGTGTTCTCGGGGTGACCCGCAACAAACTGGAGAAACTGTCTTCCTGACGGTCAAATATTGCCTTGGGCTTCCCCCATAAGAGCTGGACGAAGTGGCTGGGGAAAGGGAATTTTAGGCTTCCCCGCTAAAGAGGCAGGCCCTGCCACCCAACCCCGGATAAGCTGAAGAAAATGTATTGATGGTTGGATAAAAAAATTAAAATGAGTATAACACAAAATAAAATATAAGAAAGATATTTATTCTATTTTATTGGTGGAATTGAACATTTTTTCAAAAACAGCTCAAATTAATACATGTAGAATGCAAATATGTCTTTCAATTAAACAAAATGTAATTTAAAAGATTAATATTTTATACAAAAAAACAAAACAGAAAAAGAAATCAGTGAATGACACAACCTTGTACATGGTAAAACGAAATATGTGTCATCGTGCTCAGGTATAGAAAAACTTTCAAGAGGTATACCTGAAAGTGCTTGAAAAGCACTCGGATGTGACCTTTCACAAAGTGTGCGGAGCGAACGCTTTACGCTATGCATGGTCGAACTCGACAAGCACGTGTACGTCGGCTAGCCGCTTTCTTGCTTATATACAGCTCGTCTTTTTTGTTTTGTAAATAAAATATAGTATAAGTGCATAGCTTAGTCGAGAGAAAACATGTGCTATACTGTATTAGCCATGGGGACCTGAAAGCTTTTGTCAACACGGCGTAAAAAATTGATAGGCACCTGTCCAGGATCGAGTGTGCGGGTTAGCCTCTGTGCTAACTAATGTATGGCCGACCTGCTGCTTTTTACCTGACTTGGTAAAAAAGAAAAAGGCCCAACAAGCTGTTATTTATTTACTTCATTTTATTTTATTTTTAGCTGCCACCAACATGCCTGTGCATGTGTTAATCATGACAAATTTTCAATGGGCCGTTTTTGATGTGCATGGACGTACACGTGCAGATTTTAATTTTTTTTTCCTCTAGCTGCCAACGATGATTTATTGAGCCACAGTAGTTGACCCCTCAAAAGGTCCAAAATGTTTTTGACAAACAGAGCGCCTAATGCTGTGCGCTCCATGATCTCTCTTATGAACCAACATGGCTCACGCTTCCGGATGACAGCTTAGCATCACGTGTTAAGATGACGGTGACGTCTATGTCCCCCATGCCCCCGACTTTGTACACCGAGGTTCAGGGGCAACAATTAACCGGGTAAAGAAAATGTTTGAATTGGGAATTATTTTCTAAATATATATTTTGTATTGTTCAGTGAAAGAGTCCTCATTAAATGTAGTGGACAGCTGAGTGCAGTTACTGCATGCAATAAATTGATGACGGAACGCAAACGACATTTTTGGTTTGCTGCGGGAGGATCAGTTAATTTTGGCTTTGATGTCAAAAACATAGGGAGGACTCAAATAGACATCCATCCATCCATTTTCCAATCCGCTTTTATCCTCACAAGGGTCGCGGGGGGTGCTGGAGCCTTTCCCAGCCGTCTTCGGGCAGTAGGCGGGGGACACCCTGAACCGGTTGGCAGCCAATCGCAGGGCACACACAGACGAACAACCATCCGCCATCACACCGACACCTAGGAACAATTTAGTGTGTTCAATCAGCCTGCCGTGCATGTATTTGGAATGCGGGAGGAAACCGGAGTACCCGGAGAAAACCCACGCAGGCCCAAGTTTCTTAAACATACAGGTTAACCCAAAAATGTTTTTAAAAAAGCAGCAAATACAGTATACGTGTATATGCAGTGTTATCATCAAAAGGGTTTTGTGGCCCCCGGTGTTGAAAACCGTACCCTTACTTGAAACACTAATCCCGTTATGGATGCCACTTGCCCTCAGTGATCCTCAGTTTGAGAAGGGTGCTTTTGTCGAATGTAGTTTTCCATTTCGCACCTTTTCCGGTTTGCGTCCCCGCTGCGCTCAGTTGAGCAAGTGTATGATGCGATGATATCTACCTACACTGGTGTTTAGTGTACACGAGGACAAACCCCGACAGTGCGGCTTTTCCCCTTCCCTCTAAATGTTTCCCTTGGAGATTTTTGCTGCTCGCTTGTCCGAGCTCATCATCTCCGTTTTGGTGAGTTAACAAGGAGGCGAGCGCCTGTGTCAAAATAGACTAGTCATCAACCCACTGCGTTAGCGCCGCCACCGCAACACGACACCACGCTACGCTGACCTCCTGCTCGTATCCTCGTTGACCACTGGTGATTTTTTATTTACCGTATTTTTTTTTCTCTAAATCAAAAGACAAATATGAAGCCTCTTTTTTTATGGTTACTGGAGGTCACTGTTAACCTCATTTTTGTAAAAACCTCCAGCCAGCTCGCTGAAAATTCTCCCCCTAAGTGTGAAAAAGACACATCAAGTGACATCTTCACTTCGGAGTGCCTCGACGGGTTTCACAAGCAGTCGTATGGTCCATTTTTTCCCCCGCTTTGTGTGGAATGGGACAAATACAAAATGAAAGCACTTGCAAGGAGCTGCTGTAGGCAACAACTCACCCAAACGCTTTCACACGGACTAAACGTCCGCTAATCAGATCGTGATGCCACTCACATGGCCACGCCCCTTGAATGTTATTATTTTCGCTTTGTTTAAATAATAAAAATAATTAAACATACCAAAACACCAGTCAATAAAAATATTAGTAATTTTATTTTGACAAAAAAAAATAAGTTAATGCATTGTAAAATGTTACTTTTCTAAACAATAAAACAGGAAGGGTAAAGAGAAGGTCAGTTCTAATATATTTTTGGATTTTTTTTTACCCAATTAACTAATTAAAATATGGAAGAAAATACACTTTTTGTTTATCTATTATTTATGAATTGAATTTCAAAGAATTTTACTTTATTTAATAATGAATAAAACACTAATTTAAATTGGATTTTTTTTTTGTCAATTAGCAATTTTATAGAAAATAGTTTAAAAATTTGATCTATTTGTTCATCACAGGTGAAAAAAACATTCTGTTCAATTTGTGTAGACTTTTAATTTTTTGTGTGTGTGTGTGTGTGTGTGTGTGTGTGTGTGTGTGTGTGTGTGTGTGTGTGTGAACAAAAATACAACTT